CCTTGCTCCCAATATGCCGTCCTTGTGCCTGTCCGTATACACCTGCCTTCGGGGAAGACGTGTTGTCTTGCTGAGCCGCTTCGCGCAGTTTCGCACTCGCGAGGCTAGCCGTGTCCATGCCGCCTCGCTCCCCCCCCTCTTGTTCCTCTACCACGTTTCTCCCCCTCCCCCCATCAACTCCCTCCTCTTCGTCCCGCCCCCTCAGCCAGATCCTCCTACGCCTCCTCCTCTTGCTTCTGCTCCTCCACTTCCCTCCCTCCTCGACACACTCGGAGGGGGTAGCTCATCCTCATCATCCTCGTCCTCGTCCTTCTGCCACTCCTCGTCCTCCTCCTCCTCCTCCTCCTCCTCCGCCTCCGCCTCCGCCTCCTCATCCTCTGCCTCCTCCTCCTCCTCCCCCACCTCCCGTTCGCGCGGCAGAGCACCGTGGCCAGGGAATAGATTCGTGGCCGCTGCTCGCCATAGCCAGAAAAAGCCTCTTCGTCCCTTACTTGTCCAGCGTTCCTTCCGTCGGCGGCGAGCCCAGGGGGGAATGCAGAGGGGGCGGGCCTCCTCAGAAGGTTCGGAAGGCCTCCAGCCTTCCGAGAAGAGTTCTAGGCCTTCTCCGAAGACAGGGACGGCTTCTCGGAAGGCGCGAGGGCTCCTCACAAGCCCCGCCGCCTTCCGAGAAGGTTTGCCCCCTCTCATTTCCCCCCCAGGGTGCGCCGCCTGTCATGGTAGCACGATGGCTGCAGTGGGCAGTGCTGGCCGACCCGTGAGGAGGACCGCACACACACACACACACACACACACACACACACACACACACACACACACACACACACACACACACACACACACACACACACACACACACACACACACACACACACACACACACACACACACACACACACACACACACACACGCACAAGCACACGGACACTCACAAGCACTCGGCAGAGATAGAGAGAGAGGGAGGGGGCGAGGGAGGGAGGGAGGGGGAGGGGAGGGGGGGGGAGACACACACACACACAAGCACACGGACACTCACAAGCACTCAGCAGAGAGGAGAGGGAGGGGCGAGGAGGGAGGGAGGGGAGGGAAGGGAGGAGACAAGCACACACACACACACAAGCACACGGACACTCACAAGCACTCAGCAGAGATAGAGAGAGAGGGGGAGGGGCGAGCGAGGGAGGGAGGGAGGAGAGGGGAGGGGAGGAGAGGCGGGGGAGGGCAGAGGAAGCGAGCGAGGGAGGAGAGGGAGGGAGGGAGCGAGGGAGAGGGGAGGGGAGGGGAGGGGAGGGAGGAGAGGCAGGGCAGGGCAGAGCCAGGGGAGGGGAGGGAGCGACCCGGGCAGGCGAAGACTGAGATAGGGGGACCTCCTCCTCCTCCTCCTCCTCCTCCTCCTCCTCCTCCTCCTCCTCCTCCTCCTCGCCACGGCCGCAGCGCCCGCCCAGGACGAGGTCGGGCCTGTCCCTCCACAGGGGGAGCATCCAAAAAAGCAGTCACGACACAGTCCAGGGACGATTTGTTCTGACCCATTTTGGGGCATATTCTATGTTTTGATTCGTTCTTGGTGTATGTTCCCAGACATGATGGCGTCGTAAAAAATCAGGACGGGATGTTTTTCGCTATTTTCGGCCCCTAGAGGCCATCGCCGGGCCCCAGGACCGTCAAAAAACGACTCAGGATGAAAAACCAGCCCTGGGGAAAGGGTCTGGACTTCCAGGGACGCCGTCCTGAAAAAATCAGGACGTCGCATGTCTGGGTTCTGTTCTTCGTCCACAACCAGGCCAGCCACAACTGGGGGAGCTGTGGTCCTTACCCCCCTGGGGGACCCATCGACTTCGACACCCCATTCGAGAGATCGTCGATGCGATGGGTCCCCCAGGGGGGTAAGGACCACAGCTCCCCCAGTCAGGGCTGGTCGGACAGTCCGCCTGTAGGGGGACACGCCCGACCTAAGCCCAGGACACTGGGAACTCATCCCCAGGGCGTTCCAGGGGGCGGCCGCGTCGCCCGCCGCGTGCTCCCGCTCCGCCGGCGCTCCGTCGGGTGCTGCCCGGAGGTGCCCGGGGATCCGCACGGTGCCCCCGGGAGTGCCGCGGAGGCCCCCGCGGCCTCGAGAGCGCCATCAGGGGAGCGGCGCCCCTGGGCTCCCCGTCCACCCCTGTTCTCGACTAGACGTAAGGGTGACCTTTCGCCGGAGTGACCGTTGGTGCGGGCACAGATGGGTCCCCAGATGGCTGAACATGAAGCAGGAGCAGCGGCTGGCGCGCCCAGGTTTGGTCCCCCCGCCGCCCCCCCAAAAATCGCGCACCAAAGGTGACTCTTACCCAGGGTCACTCTTACGTGTAGCCCCTGTTCGGGGGCGGCAAAGAGGGGGGTGATGACTAGGGGGGGGAGTATCATTTGCGGGGGCCATGGTATTTCCCCAGATTTCATGGCGCCTCTGCTTATTCCCTTACGTCCCTGGTTCCCCCGCTGGGCCGCGCACATGCCGCCGGTCATGAT